ATAAAAAAAGAGATATCTGAATTAAATGATACCATACATCAAATGGACCTAAGAGACACTTTTCAAATATTGCACCCAAGCACCAAAGAATAAATTTTCTATTCAGCATCCCATCAAACTTTCTCCAAAATCAGCCACATACTGGGGCACAATACAAGCCTCAAAAAATACAAAAGATTGAAATAACTCCACGCATTCTATCAGATCACAATGCAATAAAGCTTAAAATCAACACCGGAAGAAACCCTAGTAACTACATGAAAACATGGAGATTAAACAACACACTCCTGAATGATGAATGGATCAAAGGCGAAATTAAAAAAGAAATAAAAGTATTTCTAGAACTGAATGAAAAGGACAATACAACACGACAAAACCTCTGAGACATGTTGAAAGCTGTCCTTGGAGAGAAGTTTATAGGTGTAAGTGCCTATATTAAAAAACCAGAAAGAACAAAAATAAAACTCAAAACACTTGAAAAGCAACAACAAATAAAACCCAAACCCAGCAGACAGGAAGAAATAACAAAAATAAGAGCAGAAATTAGTGAAATAGAAACAAATAAAACAATACAAAGAATCAACGAATCCAAGAGCTTGTTCTTTGAGAAGATAAACAAGATTGACAGACCGCTAGCCCAGTTAACCAAAAGAAAGACCACCTCCAAATCAACAAAATCAGAATTGAAAGGGGAAACCACACAGACACCAAAAAGATCCAGAATGTTATAAAACAGCTTAAACGAACCTGGAACACATAAGGATTGAAACTGTAATATGCACACTCCCACCTGGGAAGAAAAAAAAAGATAAAGCCCTGGACAAGATGGATTTAGAGTAGAATTCTATTCCCGATACTCCTTAATTTATTCAAAATGACAGAAATGGAAGGAGAACTTCCAAAGTCCTTCTACGAAGCCAGCATCACTCTAATGTCCAAAACAGGTACAGATAAAACGAGGAAAAATAATTATTGACCCATATTTTTATAGAACGTTGATGCAGGAATTCTCAGCAAAATTCTTGCAAGCCACATACAACCACACATCAGAAAGGATATCCACCGTCATCAAATTGGATTTATTCAAGAGAGGCAGGGACGGTTCAATAAACGCGACTCAAAAAATATCATAAATCATATAAATGCATGCAGACAAGAACAGCACGTTCATCTCAATAACACGCAGAGAGGGACTCTTGACAAAATTCAACATGCATTTATGTTCAAAGTCCTACAGGGCATTGGATTGGAGGTAACATACCTCAACGTAGTGAGAGCCATATACAATAAAGCCACAGCCAACATCATTCTAAATGGAGAAAAACTGGAAGGATTCGCATTGAAATCAGGAAGCAAACAAGGCTCTCTGCTATCTCCACTCCTTTTTAATAAAGTGCTTGGAACTCATGCAAGACAGTAAGACAAGAGAAGGAAAATAAAGGAGTAATCATTGGAAAAGAAGAGATCAAATTAGCTCTCTTCTGCAGACGAAAAAATATCTAAAACCTGCCAGAAATTCCACCAGGGACCTGCTAGAAGACATCCACAGTTTCAGTAAAGGGGAAGGTCACAAAATAACCTACAAAAGTCCATAGCCTTTCTACATACCAGTAACAACCGATCAGAGAAAGAGTACATGGAAACACTTCCTGTCACAATAGACTCAAATAATAAAATGAAATATCTCGGAATAAAACGGACCAAAGACATTAAAGACCTCTACAATGAAATTTTTCAATCTTTAAAAAGAGATTGAGGAAGACACCAGAAGATGGAAGAACCTCCCATGCTCATGGATTGGAAGAAGTAATATTGTGAAAATGACCATCCTACCAAAAGCCATTTAGAGATTCAATGCAATGCCAATCAAAATCCCTATGACATTCTTTGCAGAATTGCAAAAAACATCCTAAGATTCATATGGAAGCACAAAAGATCTCGCTCAGAGCAACCCTGAGCACCAAGAGCAATGCTGGGGGGATTACTATACCAGATGTTAAATTGTATTATCAGAACTATAGTCATAAAAATAACATGGTACTGGCACAAAAATAGACCCATAGATCAATG